TCAGTCGAGTAGTAACAGGATAGTCGTCCACAATGATATGATGTCAATATATTGAAAGTTTCATGGAATATATATATATATATCACCTAGCAAATAATCCCGTCAACAAGAGGATGCTTATTCGGCGCAGAAGGGATAGTTGCAAATTCAGAGGAATCTGCATGATAAAGCTGGCCATTCTTCAGCGCTGCGAAAATTCTTCGTTCTTCAACCAGCTGGGAATAGCAGACAACTCAAGACGTTTGACAGCATTCTTGAGAGCCAAGGGAAGCTTCTGCTACTCCGGTAGTATGAGATAACATGAAATTCCTTTATTAGTGTTGTCTGACAGACTCAACCACTTCTGAGATATTGTCCGAAAATGAGAGCATTCCAGATGAGAATGCACACAGTGAAACAATGACGCCTCACTGAGTTACGCGTAGCTTAAACGAAATTGGTGTCTATACCTCATCTCTTGAAGGAAAGAGTTTTAAGAACCCAGCAAAAGTTTAGAGGTTGGTGGACGCGACGAAACAAGTACGTTATGCCAGGAGTTGATGGGAGCCATGATCGCAGCAGAACCAAAGAGCACTTCAGTAGATCTCAGAAGAATAGACAAAAAGAATTACCTCTTTCGCCAGCATTTGATTGTCAGCATCACAAACAATTGTATGTTTGCTTCTTTGGTATTATAGGTATCGCTCGTTCAGATCGATCCCAACAATCTTCAGTATATATGCTTCTATTGGTGAGCCATAAAGAAAGAGTCGGTTAACCAACCATCAAATGTTAAAAGGCAGCAATTGTCATAATTCCGTCGTAAATAACTTGTTCGATTGCAATTACTGCCTTTTCCTAAAACACACATGACGCCTTGGAGCTCTGACTTTTTTCGCCGTACTGGTATGACAGCTTGCTTCAACATTTTGCTGAAAGGCAACCAAATACTTCCCAAACTGATTGAGGCTGTCAAAATGGCCCGGGGAAGTCGAAAGACAAGCCAACTAGAGTTTCGTTTGCATACTCCTTTCGCCATGCCCATCTGTTCCATGAACTGCACGCGGATGTTATCTACTGGTTTCATGGAATTGGTTGACTACGGCTGTAACGGTGGTCGGTGATGTATGGAGTGGGATAGAGTTGGAAGTCTGGCGGCATTTTTGGAGTGCTTGGGGAGGCACAACAGTTAGTGGAAGTGCTTATATTTATCAAATCCATCGAGGAAACACGCACGCACAAACAACAACGGTCACATCAGAAAATGAGTGCACCTGACAAATTCTGACATAGCAGTAGTACCTTGCGTATACTAAATATGCAAGTTTATGTACCTATCAGTGATCGATATGGATAACATCGTCGGTCGAAAGATTTTCCATGGACTGAACATACCTGCAAGAACAAGTCAAACAAAATCACCCATCTATCTCTTATATGTCCAGGGTGAGATTATTTGCTACTTCTTGTCTCTTGTACCTTCAAATCCTACATAAATATTAAAATTCAACGTTTTTTGTTCTCCCCAACTTCAGAACGGAGAAAGCGCATTGTGGTCACCCATCAAGCCGCTCAATGGCAATGAATTAATGATAAACTTTTGTGACTTTCCTTTAGATAATTCCTTTTTCGTGTGCCTATATTGCACACCTTTCTCTTGGTCAAATTTCTCACTAACTGCTGCCCCAGTGCACTCTTATTCAGGTTTCAACAGCGGGACCAGTATCCGTCTCAGTAACTGCTGAGCAAAGCTCACCCAGTGTCAAGTTCATTTAGTTTGCTTTGTATTGGAATAATTAAATTAAAAAGGATGATGACACTGGCATCGTGATTTGGGATGGATAGGATTATCAATGGGGTCAATCCAGCTCAGAACATGATGACCTGAGGTTTTCCAAGGGATGCTAAACATAGTTATATTGGTGTAGCGTTCCAGAGGGGAATACAGCGGTGCTCGGTGTTGTGCCTTTGATTGAATCCTTTCCGATTGTAAGAACAATGCGCTTAAAATAGGATTTGAAGAATACACCGGGATCATAATAGGATAACTTTCCAGGGAGCGACATATCAGAGTTGGTAAGTACAAGATGAGGGACTATTAGGTCCTGATCAGTGACGCAGTGGTTGGGAATGCACCAGACCATCAGGCCAAGCATGTAGAAACCCCAAATAGGGACATATCGGAAGGTTCAGAGCTGGTGAGCCTGTGGAAGTGGTCTCTAGTTTATCCGAAATAACATGTGCCATTGTAGAGAAATCATCAACGAACTTGGTTCATATTTAAACGAGAAGGTCCAACCAAAATAGAATACACGTAATTAAACCTACCCCAGTTGTCATGACAACATCCTAGTCGCGCATAGGAGCAAATATTCGTAGGTGAAATTCGGAGGCACCTTGTTACCAAAATGTCCCTAAACAAAACAGCCAATTCCCAAACCTGATCCAAAGTGATGCAAGTTATTCTCTAGCCCACTGGTTGTAAAATTTACTCTCCCAAACCAAAAAAACTCCACCGACAACAGACAATATTTCAGCCTGCTATTAGAAAAAGATATCGCGGATTTTTCTCCGTCTTCCTCGAAACTCTACCGGCCTTGTATGTTGGTCGCTTGGCATTGGTGATAAAACAGATTCTTTGTTTGACAATGAATCCGTCGACCGTTCTCCAAGCGTATCTGAAATAACTCTTTTCCTGTCAACTCCAAGGTGCTGCTACTTGATTCAAGAGAAAGATGCCTTCTAATCAGGTACACTTTCCTGTGGAACAGATAGCAGTCACTGTCTCAGCTAGGTTGAATGACCGCACATTTTGGTGCTCCTTCTTATTATGGGTAACACCAGCTATTTTACGAGTTGTTTTCAAGTACGCAAGAATAACAATTCTCTCACATGATTTGTCAGCGCCAGAGAGAGTTGGTTGACGTTCGTTGCTTTTCACATGGTAAGAAGTGTAGCTCTTGTTTTTTGTTTTGGCCACGGTTGAACAAAGTCCAGTGCTAAAACAGACGCTTCCCAGGTGATCACATGGCATCTTGTTATTACTACATACATGTCGGACCACTTATTTTGAAGGTCACTTTTTACTACATCACATTTTAACTAGCATACACACTGGGACAACAGGTCATTGTCACTGCCAGGAAGTCGAAACATAATCAACTTCAGACAACGCAATTCGCGTATTGAAAGGAAGTGAGTATGTAGAATCAGCACCAACTCTTCGTTAACAGAACGATAGACTCGAGCTATTGATTTAGATACCAGTGTTAAACCCAAATCACGAATGACCCGAGGGATGCTTTGTAAGTGTGCTACATTGAGCAAGACTGTAAAAGGTGAGTTAGACAGAGGGACTACCAGGCTGAGTATTGGAGAAAATTCCACTGAAGATCTGCCGATCAATTATAAACACAAATCACTGAAATCTGTCAGCAATAATGGAGCTAGTCTGAAGTTCTGAAAAGAAGAAAATTTTGAAAACCGATTGATAAGTCAACTTTTCAAGGGATTTTGAATTGCTGAAGAAGCGTAGCTCCAGTTCCAGATCCGGTCTTAGGAACACGCCCCATTTGAAAGGCAAACTGCCAAGCTATATCACCAACTTTTGTGCGTACTCATTCGTAGTTTCGTGCCGATCATCATATGTTCGTTGTTGGACAACACATTTATCAGATAGAATAAGTCAACAAGTCCGTGTCACTGAGTGGTGGCTGAAAGAAACTGGAGACTATTAAAGGGAGTCATATCTGGACGAAACGAGTCATTTAATTCACAAAGAGAACGCCCTCTTTGTGATAGACCGGATGCTCTGGACCGAACATGGCTGGCAGGATCCAAACCTTTATTGATCGCAGAGGCAGGTGAAATTCAACTGTACGACATACACTTATGCGTCCAATTGAAGATTCTGCGACCATTGAACTTGAGTTGACCTGGAAAAAATCCTGTTGCGCAAACTTGCTAGGCATTTAACTCGGTGTCCCGTTGACCAGTCTACTTGTCCCATTTTTTAAAGGATTTTTACTCATGATTTTTCCATAAACTTTGCATGTGATTTCGTGTATCATAGATTCATGATGTATTAGCAAACAGGAAGGATCTCAGGAAAAAATATTTGTTTCACTACATTAGTTGCCCTCATGTAACTTGGGGTGCAACCGATGTAACTTGCCTTGTCCAAGATTGGCTCCTTTTGCTTACTTTGCCTCGATGGAATGCTCCTCTACTCATCTTCGAAATAGCACATGTCTACGCCTTAAGTTTTTTTACGCAAGACATTTCGTTTATACGGCTGCCAAGGATAAGCAAGATGAAGTGAGATATCTAGCTTCCCCAGGTTATCCACAATCCATTGCGAACGTGCTAGAAGCTTACCTTTTCAACGACAGATCGCCTTCCTTTTCCCTCTTTTTACGTATGTAGCAGCAAGCGACAGCTTTTTATCACGGGATATTGTTGGATACCTAAAGAATAACATGCCACATTCCAGTTCCTCTGGGTCATGGGCCTCTATTTGGGCGGCGGACAGACTTGTGCGACTGAGCCTTCTGGGGTGCAATTCCATTAGCCTAAACTGTTGATTTGTATTTTCGGTGAACTCTCATGGAATTACACTATTCATAGGCATTCAGTAGTTTGTTTCTTTTGGCGCAAACGAACCATCCAGACCAACGGCCTCATTAGGTGGCTACTGTCAGCACAGATATCAGATATCAGATCTATTTGGTGGTTACTTTCTACGGTCGTTTGATTACCTGATTCCAGTCAGACGAAAACCATAAGTAGGTTCTTGCTTCTGAGGCCCATGGCAGCGGTGCACATAAACAGCCTCTAGAATTGACGAAATACACTCATTTGCGAATAAATTCGGTTTTGCGAGAGACTCACCTGGAACCCATTTGAATATCTCTTTTGTAATGTTTCCAGGCAAATGGATGTGCCGCACCAGACCACCTTATGTTTCAGTCTCTACGATATTCGACATATCGCGGTACACATATATGTATAATGCGCTACTCATGAGGTTGCTGAAAATTATCCGACAATCCATGACCGGTTCCACCCTTCCTGAGGCTCATCTGGTAAGTGCAATCCCTGAGTTTCCATCAACCTGATGTTCTACTTGAAACCAGATTGCACGAAATTAGCGAATTACACTCATATGCAAACAAATTTGGCTTCCAGGCTTGTAACTAAACGAAATACCGATGTCAACAGGGCGTTATCATTCCACTTTTATCAAAAATCAAGCTCCTTAAGACCAAAGATGCAAGGCGAAGAATAAAAGATGTGTTCAGTAAAATATAATTCTGCTTTAAAAACTCTGTAAAGAAATGTTTATGAAGACTATTACGCTTTAGTTCAAACATCACATATCAGTCAGTAGTAAATCAATAATATTTCTGTCCTAGTTATTTAGAATCATCTCGTTGTCAGAGGAATAGTGCTTAATTGCACCAAGTAGGACGCTGGATACTGATTATCTGAAGCCTAGTGGCTAGTCCACACGGATGTATTACACTTATTGATCCCTGGTGTTTCAACTGCTTCTTCAGACAGCTTAACATAATTTGGTGTAACTTCGATCTAATGAATATCACACTGAACTTAGCTGTAACGAGGAAATATTTCTCGATTCGTTATCAGCTTTCTAGTCTGTTATAGTATACCGAATTTTGTTGATTCTTCTTTTTCCCTGTAGATGATATGGATGCAAGGTGCCTAATACCACTAAGACTCTGATCACAGGTTTTATGGAACTGTGCTGCGTGGGGTTCACTATGACTTGGAATTTGTAGTACTCGTACGCATTGCAGTTTAAAACGCCATTAAATTTACCACTGCCGAAGCAGATGAAGTAGTTGCCGTTTCGCGAGGCATAGACACGAAGTTTTCTCGCCAAATTTTGTCTCATTCCGGAAGTCGTCTTCAAGCAGAGTCCGTTCGAAGCAGATCAGCACAGATTGCTTTCCCCGCTTGTAGCAGTGAGTTTCAAAACAGAGGGAGGGATTTGGCGAAATACTTTTGTTTGCAAGATACGTTGGTGTTAACGTGAGACTCAAGCGACGACCCGCTGAACTGCACAAAGGACACCTAATGTTAATTTGGTGCGATTTTCGGGATACCGTACTTTATTTTCTCGAAATCACTTCCTAAAAAGATTGTTGAAAACGATTCAAAAGTCCACCCCATCCAGGCGTAGTCATCGGGTTTCCGTCAACCACATGTTCTACTTGAATCCAAACTGTACTCAATTTATGATTCGGTTTTGACGTAGGACTCAGCTGAATCTCTTGTGTATGAATGGGCTACACACGGCCGCCTCATGTTTCGTTTGCTACGATATGTGAAATATCGCGGTGTATTTTCTATGACCACGAGATATACTCATCTGTAAAACCAGTAGTGCGTTACAGAAGAACTTTCATCGACTGTTCAATTGGTGCTCCATCAAGAACATGTAGGAAACGTTGCCTGAAGGATAGAGTGGTTACACTATTTTTTTCAGGGGGTATAATAATGCTATTAGTTTTTTTAAAGATTAAAACCAGTGTGTTATTGCCATTCAGAAGGTTGAATTTCATTTACTTTTTATCATTCGGTTGCGTCAGTTCAGAATACGTAGAATTAAGCATAGTAATATTTTTCACAGACCTTAGAGTCGGATTACTGTCTTAATGGATAATGCGATGCATCCCATTTACGCCCCGTTGGTGAGCCTTATCAAAAACCAGAAGTCCGCGATTAGTCCACCTTTTTTGTGAGGTAACCATGTCTTCATCACAAAGTTCAGTCATGCTCCGAGACGTATTATCCGCGGAATGTCAGACATTAATCTTATCGACGCGTTTTTTAATAAAACGGAGCAGAGCAAAACCTTCCGCAAAGAATAAACTATCGAATCCTCATTAGGCCGCCCTGGCTCATGATTTAACGCTAAACTTAATCTGCTCTACCGTTCTATTTTCTGGGGATAACGATTTGTGATTTTTCTTTGGGAGAGAAAAATCTCTGTTAGGTGATCACTAGTAAGTGACACCCCGCTTCAGAGTCCTCCACTTTCTGGAATCCAAAATATTTCACTTTATTCGGGTACCGATGCATTGACATCGTGCTCACGGCTGGTCAACACATGCGTGTTACTTCACCTGAGCACCTAAACTGCATGTACCATTGTTGAAATGAATAAGTCTGTGCTCTTTTTTCGACAATACGTTTTCGCGTACATTTCTGCTTTGAAGCACTTATTATTGGTGGGTTTTCAAATAATCAGAACCACAATTGCCGTGTTTTGACTGAATCACGAAGGTGAGCTATCCTCGACCCAGAATCTTGGCAATCTTAAGAGAGTGAGAGTGTTAATGACTGTTGCTCTGATGACAATGAAAGTTCGTGCGAGCGAAGTTTGTTGTTTAGTTGCCCTAAACGGAATTTCGATTCATACTTAGGCTTAACGATTCCGAATACCAAAAGGAAGAATTGGGTTCGAAACTCCGTGGTTCAATTTACACAAAATTAAGCACAATTACACAACAAACCTCACTTGTCAATGTGTGTTGTCAGCACGTGCACTGATCTGTCACAGACGGGCATAGCGTAGTGTCAAAGTCCACAAGCCAAAATCGGCGAGCGGAATGTTGGCTCTGAGTTCCGAATTGTGGTCGTCCCTTCCGAGGACGGTCTGAATCTGACTGGTGGTGCGAATACCCGGAACTCATTGCAGGACAAGCCATGGCAGTTTCCGCAAACGCGCATCGAACATTAGGCCCCTGCGCACATTCACACACGCACACAAACTCGGTAAAATCACCACAGTTGGAAGGAACGAACTTTGCGTACAGACATGCAAAACAAGTGGAGATCAAAATCACATAGACAGAGTAAGCAAATGAATGGGGGAATAATCACGAGGTCAAGTCAGATTCAAGACTTGGCATAGCGAACAGAAGGTCGTTCTCTCTCACACAGGTCTACCTTTGTGTGTTTGCGTCTCTGTGTTCACTTGGTGTGATATTCGGCGGTCGCCAAAGTCAGTCAGTTAATTGCTTGGCCCTATCCGTTACGTAATGTCGACCCTTGTATTCTACTAGATTAGTGCTTGTCAGTTTCCTGATAACGGCAAGCACCGACTTCCCAGGTGACTCCTTTTTTCTCCGAATCAACCAGACAGTCCAGAAGCCCACTCTGAATTGTCTGTGACACTAGCAAGTAAGCGAGTTCACGAATGGCCAAAACAAACATCTGAAGTCAGACTAACCAAGTTGAAAAATTGAGCTGGATTTCTGGAATTCAAAATTCTTCAGGCGAACTTCCGTTGCGGGATGATTCACGCTTCAACAGAGTAGGATGTTAAAAGGTCCGGACAACTGAAGTGAACGAACCCACAGTCAATCTTTTTGAACATGGCCGCCAACACCAAGACAGTTAAAGAATGTGGTCAAAATTTTGTGACGAAATGCGTAAACCCGTAAAAATATAGTTCTGATCCCCATAACAGTGCTCCCGTCAAATAGACCCCAAGAAAGAGCCAGATGTTTCGTTCTAACATTTATTCTCATTACCATACATACAAGAGGTCCACTTCAGAAAACGGTACAGCCTGATCACTCAGTTTCGTAAGCATACTTGTGCATGTGTCAGTTTACCCACAAAAACAACGGCTTTAACTGCTTGAGTAAGATGGGAGCAATGATAATGCCATTGGTATTGAGTATCCATTCAAACAACTTTGGTCTGGGCTCCAGCGATGTCATGAATCTGTCATTCAACAAGAAAGTATACTTTAGATCATGGATTTCACGGTCCAGCTATTGGTCACAGGAATAATGCAGTCCATGGGTGTTCAGGTACCCGAACCAACCTGCGTTTTTTAAAGCCACTTGTGTTGATTAGTGGGTGTGTTCTCCCTAGTTTTGCGCTGCTCCGCTTTAAATTGTCAACCTCTGTGGTGACTAAATTTCCTAGACTACCAGACGCGAACAAAGCTTGAACGTACCGTTGTTTTATTACAGAGTCCTGGCAAGTGCAAAGCAGTGAGGGTAAGATAGACCTTTGTTGTGAAAACACTGAAGGGTGATGATCAGATGTTAAACAATCGGGGAGACGGCGTAAGTATGTGGTTGTGCGGACACATCTTCCTTACCTGTCTACGTTCACGTACTTTTCAAAGAGGGCCTGATATCTCTTGATGTGATTGTCTGGCTGGGGTGTGTATTCCTGGTATGTATTCCTCACCGTCGATTTATCTTTGAATGAATCCCTTCGTGGAGTTTGGATTTATGTTCTGACTGGTTGAATTACAATTTGAGTTGCGTTGTGGTTCTCTTTCCTGGAGCCTGTTTGGTTATCCTGGCACTGTTTAACTTCGTAGTTTTCTTCTTTCGAGCTGACTGGTTCACCTTCATTTCGCACCGACTTATGCACTGGCTTTTTTGAGTTCATCTGGTCAGTTGCGCCAGTTTGTCCGACGTAGTTGTTCTCTATTTCATAGGAGAGACAATTTCCTTCATTCGGTTAGCTACACACTATTCCTGTCATGCCTTTCTGTATTAGCGGTTTAATCCAGTATTTTTTGTGACCTTTTGACGGTCCATAGAAGCGTGCAACAGTGGAATTCTGATACCTCATTTTTGAGTACTCTTCCCTTATGATCTTTTAGAGACCTTGGGGTTGCTCCGGACTCATACTGAGTTCGTTCGCATTTTTTTTACTTTGTATATCGTTTCTTTCTAGGCAGGGATTTTTCTCTGCGAATGACTGTTAGAGGTCTTTCATCGGCTGGCAGGAACTTTGTATATCTTTCTAGGCAGGGATTTTTCTCTGCGAATGACTGTTAGAGGTCTTTCATCGGCTGGCAGGATCACAATGGCGTCATCGTTCCTCCACTTGTTCAATGTTTCTTCTAGGTGTTCAGTTTATTCGAAGAACTATCGAACGTTTTGTTGTTCGATTAGCTCTATTGCTGCTTCTAGACCGGCCAGGTACTACCGGTTCGTGATGTCTTTAAAACTAGAAGGAGAGCAACATAAACAAGAGACTCGGTTGCGTCTCCTGTGGAAATCAGTGCATTTTGCTAGAAATAGGTGTCGTGATAGAAGCGTTTTTCCCGCCCATGAAAATTATCTACAGGATCGAGCCTTTTTTCAACCGTCAGTGTCCTTGTTCTCGTTCTCATTTTCCGCTACGCCAAGAACGCATTCTTCCAGAGAAGCGTCTTTGTTTTCAATGGCTTATCTGAATATCCGTTCTATTGCCAACCTGAGTTGTGAAAGTTCACGTCCTGGCGTCCTCAAGCAAGCCTTCCTGTGCTCACCGTTCATTCTCCGGTGTTTTCTCATGAGTCTGTGCGCGTCCACATTTACAAGGCGTCTATGTGGTCTAGTTTGGCTAACTTCCAAGCTTCTGGACAAGCCACGCAACTTAGAGGATTGAATCCTGGCAGATATTGGTCGATGACTTATGACTGATATGTGGAGACCTATCGGCAGGTGTCTTCTCATTTACCAGCTGCGTTAGACGTACGATGCTTAAAGTTACCGACGATGCATCCAAAAATCGGTAGGCCGTTTACGTCACTGGTTAATGGTGAGTTAATCAGTTCGTAGCTCAAATAAGAAAAATCGAAGGAAAGTGCATTTACGAATTGTCCGAATAGACAAAAGAAATTAGGAATTAGGTTATACATTTGTATTCGTAATGCACCACTCATGGGGTTGCTGAAAATTCTTCAACAGTCCACAACCGATTTCGCCCTTCTTGGGACTCACAAGGTAAGCACAGTCTCCGGGTTTCCGTCAGCCTTATGTTCGACTTGAAACCAAATTGCACAGAATTAGAAAAATGCCCTTATTTGTAAACAAATATGGTTTTTCGAGAGACTCACCTGGAACCCAGCTGAATCTCTCGTTTGTGATGTTTCCAGGCAGCTGAATGTGATGCACCAGGCCGCCTCATGTTTCAGTCACCATGATATTCGAGATATCATGATGCATTTATATTCGTAGTGCACTAATCGTAAGGTCGCTGAAAATTCTTCGACAGTCCACGACCAGTTTCGCCCTTCTTGGAGCTCAATAGGTAGGCAGGGTCTTCGAGTTTCCGTCAACCGTATGTTCTACTTGAAGCCAAATTGAGCGAAATTACCGAAATACGCTCATTTGCAAACAAATTTTCCTTTTTCGAGAGACTCACCTGGAACCAAGCTGAATCTCTCGTTTGGGATGTTTCCAGGCAACCGAATCCGCTGCACTATATACACGTGTCGCAATAACTCGAATATCGTAGCGATTGAAACATGAGGCGGCCTGGTACCGTACATTCAGTTGCCTGAAAACATCACAAACGAGAGATTCAGCTGGGTTTCAGGTGAGTCTCTCGAGAAACCGAATTTGTTTGCAAGTGAGTGTATTTCTCCAGATTATACATTTTTTGAAATGAATTCGACATCACCAGACACTTGTGAATCGGGTCAAGGCACAAGGCCTCCCGATAACACAGCACAGTCAGGCCATTCGGGCAGGCCACATTTTGTCAAGGGTATTTGTCGTCATTAGGGTCCATTCATATCTATATCAGGCTTGTTTACACAGCAGAGAGAAATAAGGGGGAACGTTGAATTGAAGACGCAAAAATCGAGCAGCAGGAGGACATGAAACAAACACGGCTAGACAGGGGCTCGGTTCAAAACAAGCTACACAACACAAAGATGGATTACGTCGGGTTTCATAACGTGGATTTCATTGTGGCAAGTCAGTGTACAAAGCTTGTGGGTGATCAATGTTTGCATGAGTTTAGATACGGTGTCTCGAATACTTCAGACACATTGATTTACTTTCCTTGTTTCACCTTTTTTTGCACTCTGGTCCCTTATTGAAACGTTCCGTGCAGACGGAACGAAACTGATCTTGGTGTCGTTCAAGCGTGCACGACAACATTTGTTTGAGTTATTACTCTTTGATCCTTGGAGTTGATCGATCCGAGTTCCAATTAAGGTAGACTATATAGACAGACTGTTTAGGATCTGCAGATATGAGATTGAATGAAATGTATCCGCTAGCACTTATTCTTTTTGTTGCAATCTCGGATACGATGTGCCTCAAGAAAATCAGTTTGGACGAAAAGGGAAACTTTGTTGATTCTGATGGCTATACTGTGATGTTTCATGGGATTACTTCTGTTACAAAACAACCGCCGTGGTACGACAAACAGCTGCTAAATCATTCTAGATTACGACTGTACCGTCAGTGGGGATTCAATGTCATACGGTTGGGCGTAATGTGGTCAGGGGTTATGCCTGATAAATCGAAAATCGATCACAATTATTTGGACAAAATTGATGCCATCGTGTATCTGTGTGCTGTGAATGATATCTATGTGATCTTGGACATGCATCAAGATGCTATGTCGTCCGCCTTTGACATGTACGATGGAATACCCAAATGGCTGGTGGACCAGCTACCGAAGTCACCTGAGTGGCTGGCCTATCCGTTTCCATTACGCCGACCACCGAAAAATTGGTTTTTGAACTATCTAACATATGCGGCAGCAGACTGTGCTCAGAATATTTACGCGAATTCTACGGGAGCATGGGTTTACTGGGGGGACTTTTGGGCAGCGGTCGCGAAGAGATTCCGACTGAGAACGAATGTGCTTGGCTATGAGTTGATCAATGAACCACCAATTGGTAACTTTTACAAAAATCCACTCCGGATATTACCGGGTAAGCAGGGTGACTTATAAACCGTTTTTTTTCATACTGATGTGTTTTTTATCGTTTCAAGTTACGTGAAGCGTTTTCGGAGTGTCTTTATTAGACTCCATTAATGTGCTCTGAAAGAAAATATATTCATGAAACAACTAATCTCAACACGGTTTTTGAGGATGTTTCCCTGTGAAAACGGTGATCGCTGAACATCCAATCTCATTAGGACAAAGCAACATATTCCAGACAGCTGAACATCAATCTCATTAGGACAAAGCAACATATTCCAGACATAATCCTGAAAACAAAATGGCATGAAACATGTATTTGTTGTTAAAATACCGCCCAAATACCTGTAACAGTGAACTAACAAATCGCAGTTACAGAAAAGAGAGTACTGTAGCGCCATGAAAAGAAGCTTTCTAATTTCTAGACGTGATGCACTACTCAGAATGTCGCTGAAAGTTATTGGACAGCCAACGACCGTTTTTGCCCTTCTTGTGGGTTATCAGGTAGGCACAGCCCCCGAGTTTCCGTGAACCTTATGTTCTGCTTGAAACCAAAATGCAAAATACACTCATATGCAAGCAAATTTGGTTTTTCGATAGACTCACCCGGAACCCTGCTGTTCAGGCAGTAGCCACTACTCGAAACTGGTATCGCTCATTCGAGTTATGTATAAAACATTTTTCTTCAATTTATAGCCCCATTCATAAAGATTTTGTAGGTCAATCAACTTGAAGGACAACTGTCCGAAAAACTTGACAAATGTATGATGGTTTATATGGTAGACAGATTAACGCTATCGACAATTAGCAGACACTACGGATAGCTGTCAACCCCAGTGCTTTCCATGAATTTGGACATACTGTTCAGCTGGCCGTGAAAAAGGTCCCAGACGTGAGATTGTAATCGGGATCCGACTTCCCATATTTTCACTAAGCTGTAGTGAAACCGGGACAAAATATTCACAGGAATGGAATGATTTGTTAATTCATTCAATTTGTCAACTTTGATATATGTAAGTCACTATGCGAGCAACGACTTCTAGGATGAAAGTCTCACTCATCGGGTGAAGTTTATTCTTCCACTGAGCTACTCAGAGTTTGTTGCTGAAGGAACAAATCAACACGTGACCTCGTGATGTGGATCCCGTGATGGAAGGATGAGCGGTGCTATATCCTGGTCAGAGTTAAACACTGCTGACCAGCAGCTCGTAGCCGAACAGTCCAGTGCTCAAACTACTAGCCAGAACGTCAGACTCTCCAGAGTTTCGTGAAATGTGCACTGCTGATGATTCCCAATGAGGATGAAACAGTTTCGGGTCAAGTTATTCTTCCACTGAGCTACTCAGAGTTTGTTGCTGAAGGAACAAATCAACACGTGACCTCGTGATGTGGATCCCGTGATGGAAGGATGAGCGGTGCTATATCCTGGTCAGAGTTAAACACTGCTGACCAGCAGCTCGTAGCCGAACAGTCCAGTGCTCAAACTACTAGCCAGAACGTCAGACTCTCCAGAGTTTCGTGATATGTGCACTGCTGATGATTCCCAATGAGGATGAAACAGTTGTACAGTGCTTCTCGGCTTTTGAGTATAGATTGGCTTCACTTACAGAACGAAATGTCCATAAAATTGCAGAATTGATGCACGCGTTAGTTATTGAATCCAGAACGTCCGAGAAGTCTGAATTTAAGGAACGGATTTAACGTTCATAAGAGCTAAACTGAATTGTTGTTTATGTTATTGTTGAAGACAGCAACATATAAAGCCAAGAAAGTACTCGCATGCGCGTGATTTGTCGTACCATATGACGAGAAACCAGAATGAGACGGGGCGAACTTCCTTCTCAAGTTAAGCATGACCCTTAGATGATCCCTTTTGCAATTATATTTCGAAAAATAACGGGTTAACTACTCCAACTTAAGTTGCCAGATGCGGCATTTTTGGGACGGCGCTGGTGAACGCATACCATACCACAGCATACCGTAGTTTTCCATCATTTGGAAGTTTTTGGACATTTGAGTATTGCGGAATCCCTTGGGCGGATTTTAGAGTATACAGTTACCCAAAAGATCTGCCGGTCTGGTCTTGTCTGGTCTGGTGGTCTATCTATAGAGAAGAAACCGCATTTTTGCACAGTGTTTGTTCCGTAAAGACGAGTCAGTTCGACTGGTTGGCCTGTTGCCTGGTCGGGCCTGAGAGTAGCTCTTGTGAAATTTGAAGGCAGAGGTGAGTTTGAGTGATGCAGTTGCTTCCTCCGGTGAGACCATCTGAAATATAAGCTGTTATTCGAAGGAAGCAATCTTCAACTGATCCCCTAATGCATAATTCAATGGCTAAATATTCCTCAGCAGAATAGGTTACGTTTGGTCGGTCGCTTGAAACTCCGCAGAGGTGAAAGCAAGCGTATAGTGGAACGGTTTCTCTTGGTAACAGTGAATAGAAAACATCTTTCATTTCCATAATTTTACCCATTTTAAAACTGGCTTTATTAGGGCTTCACATGTGCTCAGTACAAACATGAAGCTTTTGGTTCACGTGAGTATCAAATATAAAAACATCATCTATTCACTGGACAGCTGCTTGATGTGAGAAGTGCTGAAAATTTGATTTTTCTAATTTGAATGTTAGCGGATGAAATTGTGCGATAAGAGAGCCTTAACTGTTTCGAAATTGTTTCGAACCCGTGGTAGTTGGGGCTGTTTATTGACCAGCTGGCCATCGATCAATACGTCGTGATTTACAATTAAGCTGCCTGCAAGCTAACGCTGGTGTCGTCAAAGGAGCTTACTTCATAACTAAGCGTTGTGAAGCATGAAAAAAAATTGGGGTTAGTTTTGAATGAGAGGGATGAACGGATTATTCAACTAGACGTCACTTTAAAGTGTTGTATACACATACAATTCACTTTCACCAGCACAATCATCATCATCATCATTCTCATCATCAGCGGCAGCGGCAGCATCATCAGAGAGATCAACATTAGTGTTCACACTGATGCCTCACTGCCGTGCAATCACAAAGTTTATTTAATTATGGTTAAAGCCTTAAACCGAAAAGAAGAGGAAATAATGCATGAGGGAGGATCGACCATCTTCAGGTCTACGCCTCTAGGAGCTCAACCAAACGATCTGAAAAGAATGTGACTGCAAGAAAGTCACAGATATCGACTGGCAGCCATTTCCCTCAATGTCTCCAGCTAAGCGTGGAGGAGCTGGGTCACGCTGACCCCACACCGGACCGCACCAACAACGAATAAACTCTCTGCAATCTCTTACCCTTTTGTCGAGTTATGCTTTGATCACCTCGCTTTTTGTGCCATTCCAAAAGTGGCACAGTGAACAATACTTGTCTCGGTAGACGATGTTTCGGCATGCGTAGAATACGGCCGATTTATAACAGCTAATGGTGCTGGATGTCATCGTGATTGAGGTGTCCGCTTCACAACCAAATGCCCGTTTCCCAGTTAACTCGGTACGAATTCGTTGACACTATCCGACGACAGCAGCGTTTTCAAGAAATCGTTGGTGAGAAGGTCTAAAAAGGCCTCACATAATCAGTCCGCAGACATCATATCTCGCAACCGTACAACAATGTAGCCGTTACTGTAGTCTGGTGCACCTGGCCCTCGGGTCAAAGTGATATGCCTTTTCGAAGCCACAACTGATAAAAATTAGCAAACGTGATTCGGGCTTTTGAGATTTGTGCATCGACTTACAGACACAATTCCGTCAGAGCTAATACAACTACTGAGTTATGTTTTCTTCTCTGATGCTTCTCCTTGAATTGCACGGTGTGTGTTCGGAGACTGCACGCTATGAAACAGACGCCAGACGCACGGTGAAGGATGGTATGCTGGTTTTCAGTTCATTCAAGAAAACTTGTGCTTCGCCCTCGTATTCATGGATAAGGGTCATGTCGTCTGCGCACTCCAGATCGACGAGATTCTCACAAATTACGATCTGAATACCGGTGTTCTGAAAATCTTCTAGCGTTCACCTGATTATTTCATCGACGGCGAATTTGATCATGAATGGAGGTAGTGGACATCTTTGTCGAACACAATTTTTTAAGAAGGTTTCCAGACAGTTCACCACACAGTCTCACACGCCTAGAAGCATATGAATATAAAGACCGGATTATGTTCACAAAATTCTATGGCGTACCCTCTTGAGCAAGTATGTGTGACGGCAGTTATTGGTCCACGGATTCAAAAGCATTTTCGGTGTGCGGGAATACTGGAAGTTTGGGTCATCTGTACACACGGCTTTGCTGCAGCACCTGAGGGAGCGTGATGATGCAGTCAACGCGGCATCAACCCGGTCGGAATTACGTTGGATCCTCACGGGTCAAATTTTTGTGTCCTGACGCGGAAGCAGTAACGCCGACAGCCCTGTTACAACGGGATTCAAAATGACATGCTTGTGGTTATTACATCCACTGCTAGTATCCTGTTTGGAAATAGGTACTGTTATCGACTTCGCCCAATTTCTGGGAAGGTCCCTTGCTCCCATATAGACGTAAATATGCTAGACATTTGCTGGCTGATGAATGTGCCACCGTCCTTTAAACGAGTAGGTGGAGTTTCGTCACGATGGTACTTGATTAGAAATATGCAATGAGACACTTCTGAGGCTGAAGGGAGCTTCATATTCACAGTCCACATTTCTGTTGACGTTAAGCGGTCCGGATCGTCGGTAGAAGGACACCAGAACTGTGTTTCCAAATACTGCTCGAACCACAAAGGTTCAAATGTTCAACGTTGCTGGGTATCAGAAAGCTACTCTCGACTCTGATGGCCTTGATGACAAAAGGCTTCCGAAAACCGTTCGAACGAATGAAGTGGAATAACCTTCGGGCGTTCCTAGGATTTTTCGCACCTTCCACTTCTTCGGCTTCTCGGGTCTACCAGGTTTTCCAAGCTGTACGGACAAATCAGTTCACCTGTCTTCGAGTTGTGCATCTGGTTCAGTTTTGCTTGGGACGAGGAGGAATCCTTCGCTGGGCCTCCAACG